TCTTCAAAATCTGATTTGTTAACGCCACAAAATTATCACGTGACTGCCGATTTTTTATGGCACCACTAACCTATTTAGTAAAAACCCTTGGGAATCTACTAAGTTCCAAATTACTGGGCTTGGTTTGCATCCTTAGACTGCAGGTCTCCAGTGATGAATTGTAGGTTCAATGTTTAGTGCAAGCTAGAATTTTAGATCTTACAAGAATAGGCTCTCGTCAATACTTCTTTTGTTCTATATTGCGTTGCCAAATATTTTCTAAATATACTAATTACTGTTTGTTTATTCAAGAGATGGTCTGCATCAGTAAAGAACTTTAAATAAAAAGATTGTGCGCAAATCAAGTCGAATATTTGCAAGTAAAGCAGATAAAGAAAACAACTTTAACAGAAATGGCGCAATATCGGTCAGAGGATATGTCACACAATCTGTACTATTATATAATTTTTAAATCTTAATGCATTTAAATGACAAATGAACTTAATACAACTTTTTGTGAATTGATTTACTGTTATTATTACCATTTATAGTTGAAAATATTCTGTATCACATCAGTTTTTTATTTGCACAAAATTAAAATAAAAATCTTTATTATTTACTGTTAAATTCGAATCTCTTTCGTGCAGTTAAAATAAAGATAATTTTTAAGATTCTTTATAAACTATAGTTTTTTTCAGATGATTAAATTTCTTCCCTATTTTGATTCATTTTAACGCTTTATTTGAATGCATAACAGTAGAATTTTATTTGAGAATTAGTCCTTTTTTTTTAATAAGATATATAAAAAAAACATATAGCATTATAGTTTTAATTAGCATACATGACACGAATAATATAAATAACAATCAAAATAGTTAAAATTTACCTGAACTAGTGTTTTTGGCATTTTTGTTGATACTTAATACCTAGATCAATTCTTAAAGCTTTTGAATATTTTTAATTTAATGATATCGAAGTAGAAAAGGATTATCACAAGTATTCAGGCATTTCAAACATCTAATAATAATAGAATGTTTACGTTAGTTATCATTATCGAAATAAAATTCAAAAGATTAAAAAAAAGTCACAAATATTTGATTTTTTTATATACTTATTAAATAATTTATCGCTTTTTTCGATTAGTTGGATCAGCGATCTTCGTAATTTTTGGTAATTACTTCAACTTTGTTAGATTTCAGTGTTTAATTTTTAATGATTATTAATCGCGGCTTGCAAATTTGTAGATCAAAAAAAAAGAAATTACTAAGAGATCACTCGATTATTAGTGATTTCTAATTTTTTCAAACTACTTTAATATCTGGATAAGCATTTTTTGTGTGGATTTCTTTCATAGCTATTCATCACAAAAATTAATCAAAAGTTTAATATATAAAATACGTATAATATGAAAATGAAAAAATGTATTTTACACATAACTCATTTATGTCAAAAAGATGGTCCAGTATTGGAGTATCTGGCCTAACAGTTCTATTTCGGTGATTTACTAAAATCTAGAAGCATACTTTCTTAGATGAAATCCCGACTTTTTGAGCGATTATAGCTTTGAAAGTCCCACATGTTTCACTTTTTAAAACCTTAAATTGTGGAACTTCAGATCTTGGATATTGTTGGTTGTCGAAATTAGCAAGATCAAACCCTTGATAACATTCAAAGGTAGCCGGAGTCACAATCTAACAGTGAATTGAGGGTAAAGTTTAAATTGCAATAATTCAAATTATCATTGATCCTCAATAATTACCTCAGTTGACAAATATAAATGACGTTCTTCAGCTTTTTTTTCGTTCATATAAATCTATTAAACATCATATGAAAGATAAATTAACTATACAATTTTAAACTATAGTGCTTCATAAATAAGTACACTTACGTAAATGCTCTGATACATCTCTAGCAAGTATCAGAAATAATACAATGATATTAGATTCGTGGGTATATACTAATATATATGCACTTGTAAATTGTTTAATATTTGTTCTAATTGAATTAGAAACTTCACACCTTATAATTATCTTCAAGGACTTCCTTATCCGTTACAGATATAATCAAACTTGAAGCTTTTATATTAATAGTTAATATTAGTTATTTGGTATATTATTATTATCAAAATCTTGATTTATTGTTAAAATTCAAACCATCTGCCATTCTTTTAATAAGACATAATATTTGTCTTCATGTAAATTGTCACTGTGAGCAATTATTCTAATATAAAAAAAATTATTAATTTGTTTTAAAAAGCATATACATTGAGAATCTTGAATCCACATTTACAAACCCATGAAGCAAATAATTATGCGGCTTTGACTTATCACTATTTGATGATATATAGGTATAAGATATTGGTCATGCAACGATTAATATTATGAAATTTGCTTTGTCAGAGCAAATAATTGGCTGACATGTGCCGCACGATCCAATATCGATGTTATCGTGCAATTATGATCATGATTTACGAGTCGTGGTTGTTTTAATTCGGGATTGTTGTGCTTACGTAATAACGTACAAAAAAGAACAAGAAGAAAAAAATCTATGATCATAAGAGTTTGCACGATAACTTTATAAATCAATTTCCATAGGATATTCAAGACAATCATTTATCTGTATACAGTATATTGGTATAATGTATTATATAATTTGTCAATCAACAAATTACTGAATTAAAGACTAGAGGTAATAATAGATACCTTAATTGTAGCACTCTCCACATAATAGATTTAAACCGTTTCAGTATATTTGTAGCATGGGTAGAAAACTTCAAAAATCAATTCTTTCTTTGCATCCTATAGACAAATAGAGTCAAAATCTTTGCATTTAATATAATTTTCAGTTACATCGTAACCAAAATATGATATACTTGCAAACCATAGATTTTAATTTGGTATTTATTATTTCCTCCACAAGATTCTTCGCAAATATATTCTAGGAAGAATCATTAAAAGTTTTGCATCCTTTCACTTCAAGCTGAATGTCTATCATAGTAAAATCAAATGTTACTTTAAAATTTATAGGTATATGCATACATATTTTTACTACTATACCATAGTAATCTTCAATACATGAACTTTCATGATTTACGTTGACACATTTATCATAACTCTTTATCTTCCCTGTAAACAGTTTAGAAATAGCACCATCCGCTCTTGTAATTTTAAACCCAAATAGAAGTGTTAGCAAATTTATAGTAATAAAATTTTAATATGGTTTAATTCAATAAACAATAAGCCTACCCTCATTTTATCCTCTACAACAATCTGACGAATCTCACCCAAAAGGTTTAGTTAATTTCGTTGTTTCAACTGGTGTATCTGATACTTGAAAAAAATAAAAAATCCTTTGCATAGCTAAAGGAATACTTTGATTAAATTTTTATATTGGAGTAATTTAGAAAATCAGAAATCGTGATTCATTATAACAATAAGTAACAATCTGATCCATATCGATATTGTTTTGTGTTATGGTTTGGTTCGATTTGACATAGATACTTCTATTTTGCTTGCTCTTTAATTGCTGACACGAATTTTTGTATTTTAATATTAGCTGATTTCAAATGTTTGAATAATTCTAGTTTGTGTTAGATCATCCGGTTAATGTATAAATCTTTCATTTTCTTAATTCATGGTTAATGCTAATATAGAAATATAATTTAAATATTCGGAATTGAATTAAAGAACAACAGGAATAATATAAATAAAAAAAGTTTAACAATACTGATTAATAAGATCCATGAAACTA